CTTCCTCCCTTTCACTTCCTTGGATGTCTCTCTTTCTACAAGACTCAACTCAAGGAGATGACCTTTTACATGAAACCTTTACATCTGATTCCCCCAATTACTAGTACCCTCCTTCCCAAATGACCTTGCATTTAACTATATTGCATGTATTTATACTTACTCTCTTTGTAGTTTTTCAGCATATATTTATATATCTATTTCTTACCTGTTAGACAAACTTCTTTAGAGTTGGGATTATTTCATTCTTTGTATTTGTATCCCACTATTTAATGTAAGTTCCCTGAGGGCAGGGACTATCTTTTTGACTCTTTTTTGTATCCCCAATGATTATTACGGTGCCTGGCATGTAAGGGCTTAATAAATATTTGTTAACTGTTGATTGATTATCTAATGTCTAATAAAGGCTTATTTATTAATTGATAATGGATAATTTGATTTTGAGAAGGCTTAAATCAGGAGTGGTTAGGATGATTCTCTCTTTGTAAAGAGGTGAGGAAATATTTATTGTAGGTTCAAACAATCAATTAACAATCATTTATTAAGTGGTTATTTTGTTTCAGGTACTGTGCTAAGTTCTGATAAAAAATTAAAGTAGTAATTGAACTAAAAGAATCTACATTCTAATGCAAAAGAACACATGTATAAATAGGCACATATAAGAAACATATAGAGTAAATAAAAATTAACTTTGAATGGAAGGCACTAGTAACCTGAGAGGGGTGAAGGGGAGATTAGGAAAGACCATCTCTCTAAGGTAGTATTTGAGCTGAGTCTTAAAGGAGGCCAGAGATTTAGAGTCAGACCAAATCTCATAGATTATCTAGTCCAAAAATGAGGACCCTCAGGCTTAGGGAGATGAAGTGATTCACCCAAGGTCCCACACCCAAGCTAATAAATGGCAGAGCTGGAATTCAAACCCAGGGCCCCTTCTACCACTCAATATTATGAAGTAGAGTAGCAAGTACCAGCATTCTTTAAAGGGGTACCTGTATGGTAGCAACTATCTTCTTTTTAAGAGAAGAAACTCTAGCTCTAGTCCTAGTTAGAGGAATACCCCCCAGAAGAACCAGCCATTCATATGTGGGGAGGGATAGTCAAATTCTCCCAAAATCTAGCATCTAAAGCCAAATATGACATCTACAATTTTTTGCTTTAGCTAAGATTGTATCGCTGAAACTTCATTTTTTATGTGGGTGTTAGAGAGAAAGGGTTAGAGAAGGCAGATAAAACTGGGCATAGATAAGCATGAAGAGGAAGATGGCAGAGTAAGCAGTGAAGAGGCAGACCTGTATATTGTTTGCTGTTCTCTTCCCTTTATGAGATCTGGGGCATAACCATCATTTTTATTGCCAATGATGTTAAGATCATATCTAGGGAGTTAGTGAAGAAAAAAATATTTGTTCCATGACTGAACCTACATTACCTATTATGTGACTATCATGGGCTGGGACTATAGGACTAAGAAAGTTTCTTTTTTTTCTTATGCATGTTGGAGGTGTCATTACTGTATTCTCAGACAAAACATTACTCTAATGACTGATTGCAGATACTTACCTATCTAATGTTTATTAAGGCTATTTTTTTCCTTTTGTGTATTTGTTTATTGAACATTTCTTGAGAAGCAGAACAGGCTGATGGCATGTTATCTCAGCCAAGTTACTTTCCTCATCTATTAAATGATGTGATTGGACTAGAATCATCTCCAAAATCCCTTCAAGCTCTCCTGTGTTATTAAATCTGTGGAAGGAGGATACCATTTTCATATGTTCTCCTAAAATTCTCCATTAATTTGATGATAGATCTGCAGCTCCTATTTAGATTGAAGGCTTTGATTGTGGAAGTAAATATTCAAGTTGTCCATTTCATTATCTAAGGGTGAAGAGCACAATCAGCACATCTGAAGGTTCTTGAAACATTATCTTGGACTAAGTAGAATGAAAGAATGGGTGCAACACCCTGAGGCTTGTTCTACTGGATTACTTAACCACACTTTGTGGGAGAAGAGACAGGAGAAGGAATGGCAAAAGTATTTTAGGGACTCTGGAATTATGAAAAAGAGCTTGAATTTGAGAGTATATGAGAAAGACCCAAGTTCAAGAAACTAGAAAGAGCTGAAGAAAAAGGATGACTAGGGTAGGAGAAGAGAGAAAGTTAAGTGACTTAAGGAGATGGAGGGCTGACAATGGAGAAGGACTTAAGAAGGATGAGAAGATAATTGGCATCACAAAGTAAGACTGTTGTCAAGGAGACACAGGAGGTTGACTATCACCAGGAAGTTGTTAATGAGATGCTACTTAGGTGAGAAGAAAAGTGACAGCTCCTGATTTGAAAAAAAGCCCATAAGCAGGTTGCAACAGGGCTTCAGTATGAAAACAAAACAAATGATAATAATAACCCCTGGAGGGTTGTGAAAAATTTGGCAACTGTAAAAGGTTTCTGAATGCACAATGACCAAAAATTAATTAATAATCAAACACATAATGAATCCAAGGTATTTCTGGTAGTGCTTGCCTGTGTTGTATCATATAACTTCACTGCAGCCTTGGTTCTAAACACAGCATGCACATTTTGCACTGCACATGTCGTCATACCACATAATGCCAATGAACACTGTGGAAATGTGAAAAAGGGTAGTGAGAGGAAAAAGTTTAAGAAGCCATGATGAAGAAAAAGGAGAGGTGATCATAGTATTTAGAGTTAAAAGGACTTAGAGATCAATGGGTCCAATTCACTCATTTTCTTTTTCAGTTAAGGAAACCAAGATGCAGAGAAGTTAAATGATTTGCCCAGAGTCAAAGCTAATAAAAGTAAAAGGTAGGATTCTAAATGAAGTCTCTTTGATTCCAAGTCTAGTGTCTTATCCCCTACAACAAAGATATCAAAAAAAGCAGCATGCAACACTCCCAAGTGTTGCCTGAACAAGATTAAAATGTAATTGGGAAATAGTTAACAAAATAAATAAAGCAAAATATAGATAGCATTACATTTAAAAACTAAGTCAATATGTGGCCTACAGGGATCCTTATGTACCAGTCAGTGCCTCCCTTTACTATTTGAGTTTGACACCACTGGCCTACATTATGCTACCTTTCTGTTGTGGTGGTTGGTGCTGAGAGTAATTGGAACTGGTATTTGTTGACATGATAAGAATAAAGAGGTCTACTATCTTTCTGAAGGCAGATTCACAATCTGACAGAGAAACTTTTGTTTTACAAAATAGTCAATGTGAACTTCTAGGGATTCATGTGGGTATACATGTGATATTGTTAGAAGAAATCTAGAAAGCCTTGCTAAAGATTCTGAAGTCTTGGTCAATAAACTGAAGATATCAGGTGGTGTTTTCATCACTTATGCAGATTAAAAAGTGAAGCTTCTGAAGGGAAAGATGGATTTGGAAATGGAACTCTGGTTGAAAAGATTATGGTTGAGAATGGGATGTGGATTTCTATACCACAAGCTAAAATATAGGCATCACAAAATCCTAGCCAGGAATGAAGTGTACTTAACAAATGACAGTCAAAATTGTTTTTCTTGCAAATTTAATCACAAAGGGAAGAAAATTGCACGTACCTATCCACCAAACTATAAATTCTATAGATAACAGCTATGCAGGATAAGAAGTTAGTAGTAAGTATAAATCTAAATTTATAGGATATAGCATATAAGAAACATGCTGTATTTCAATAATTAAACCATGGACCAAAAATCTATGTGCAAATGCACACAATTGGGTAAAAAAGCAAGATTAATTAGCTACCCTAATGACAAGAGGCAAATGTGACTTTACAGGTAGGTATTGCTAAGATTTGATGGGGTGAAACCTGTGAGTGACTATGACTCTAGAAGAATACTTCAGAAAAAGAAGATGTGTAAAAGGAGCCTGGAATAGAACTGTATATTAAGATATATTTAGGTGAGAAAACCCAGAAACCAGAAGGGGAATACATAGTGGAGGACATTTAATTAAAGATCAACAAAGTGTGACTATCGAACATCTAATAGCATGGTTTATATGCCAACCATTTCTGCAGAAAGGGAAAATCGATGTGTTCAGAGAACAGACCAAAAGTGGGGCACAGAAGGGCACTATTGCAGTGATAGTCGTCTTTAATTATGTGGACATATGCCCAAGTTCTTTCTTGGTTTATCTTAAGAATGATATCATTCTTCAAAATCAATAAGTGGAAACTCTATTCTGGACCTGATTTTCACAAGAAAGGTAAAACTGGTTGCTAGGGTGGAAAAGATGGGAAAATAATTATTCTGTCTTAGAATTTGTGTTAGAGGAGAGAAAAGCTGGGAATGGTCTGATGTGCACCCTAGATTTGGGATAGCAAATTTCAAAGTACTCAGAAAAAAAGACAATGATCGTATGGACTAAATTTTGACAGGGGAAATTGGTCCAGGAAGGATAGTGAGTTCTCAGGAATGAAATTATAAAAACACAAAGAGAAATAATGCTTATGATAAAGTAAGAGGACTTGAGGAAAAAAAACTGCTTAACTATTGCAAAATAGAATGGGTTTCTTCAGAAAACGGTTGGCGTCCTGACCAAATGAAGGGAATATGACCTCTGTATTACAACAGGAATTCTCTTTCAGGTATTATATAGGGTGGACAGGTGACTATCAATGACCCTTCTAACTGAGATTCTAGGACTCTAAACAAAGCACATCCATTGTCTTGATCTTTTCCAGGGAATGCTCATTGTTTCTGTAGTCAAGAAAATACATTATTTTTTCAAAGTGTGTCAGTTTAAAATATTTTAAGAGAAAGAAAACTCATGCTATGTTATGCCATGCAGCAAAAATAATGATGTTTGTAAACATCATACATATTTTCATAAAATAAATCCAAGCTTTCAGTTAGCTATACCATGGAAACAAGGAAAGGTTATTAAGCCAGACATTTCTCACAGGTGTTCATATCTTTGTTTTCTGATTTTTTCTTACACAGAGACAACACTGTAAGACTTTGATGGATTCATATCCCAGAGATACCTGTATTGTTTTCTTGTGTCATACCCAACAGCATTGGTCTCCCATATTTTAGTAGCCAGGACCCTTACGGTGTTGAGGAATAAAATAAAGTTCAGCTGAAAAACAAAGTATGAGAAAGAAAAAAATCAGCTATGCTTCAATTTGTCTTGTATAAATAAACATGAGCCTTCTTCCTGGGTGCATATCCCAGGACTCTATCTTGAAAATCATTCATACTATTGCCACTTGGATAAACTATATTAGAGGTATCCATGCAATCTATATGTACAACTCCAATCTATATACTATAACTTATCACATGTTATGTGTCACTTTAAACATGGCATTGGGTGATAGACACCTTTCAAAAAGTGAAAAGTAGTACCTAGGAAACAGAAATCAGTTGCTTTATTGATATACTAAGTATTGAATTTATTTCTGACATCACAAGCACCTACAAGAGAGACTTTATATTCAGTACATCAAGAAATTTTAGAGGCAAGATTTTTTAAATTAACAATCATTTATTAAAGCTGAATGGTGTACTGGTTAAGAAGCTAGCCTTTGAATCAGGAAGACCAGGGTTTAAGGCCTTTCTTTGATACATAGTAATTGTCTTACCCTGGATAAATCATTTAACTGTTTATATTATTTACTTATAATTTAAAATTTAATTTTATTTATACAACAAATTTATTTTATTTTTAATTCACAGAACAAAAGAAGCACTTCCATAACACAGAAGAATAAAAGACACCTTTCTAAATTGTAGAGTAGTCACCAGCTCTATTGGTAGGAGAAGTTTCTTCATTGGGAAGGCCCTACACCAATTAAATCACATATCTAGTTTAGCCAAGCACTGTGCTAGGTACTAGAGATACCATGTCTAATAATAAAACACACTCTGTTTTCAAGGATCTTTCCATCTATTGGAAAAAAGAATATGTACACAGATAAGTCAATGCAAATATAAAATATTTGCAACAAGGTGATATATCTAGATTCTCTTGGAAATCATGTATTCTACAGAGAAGGAGATACAGTAATGCACTGGTGGGGGGTAGATGCCTAGTGCACAAAATGTTGTCTAGCTGATCCATCAAGCACTCCCCCCACTCAGTCCCAGCCATTTTATGGGTTTTGACAAGAGGAAACAGCATGGCATGGTGAAAAGAGTCAAAACAACTTGCATTTGAATCTTGCTTATGACGGCTTTTAACCATGTAACCATATACCAGTCATTTCACCTCTAAGCCTCAGTTCATTCATCAGTAAGATAAGAAAAACAGCAATTATATTTCCTATTTCATAACTATGTTATGAATATTAAATGAAATACATGTAAAAACATTTTGAAAACTTCAGAAATGCCATAGAAATCCCAGGTGTTACTTATTAACAGTTTACTTCAATGCTGAAGAGGATAGGGTGGGAAGTGAAAGAATTGTGAATTTTTCAGTACTAGGTCCAGGCTCTGTACCTTGGCCTTTCTTCCTTCCTTCTTTCACACACCTGAATGGTACTACATTTCATATCTTGCAAATTTAAAGACCTCCTTATTAAGATTCTTGTCTCATTCCACCTGCAGAATCCCACAAGCTTTGCTGAAAATCCTTTTAAATGGAAAAAGTCAAAACTTGCCTGAACTATGTGAAGCTGTCCATCTCCTAGTGAATTCTAAATGGCTGGCCATCCCCTGGGGATTTGGCAATGTGATTAACTCAAATGAAATATTTTTCTTAGTGTAATTTTTGACATTATGTGATTCTCATGCCATTTTGATTTTATTTTATTACTTACAGGATGAATTACACCTTAGGAACACAATAAATTATCTGTGGGACAAAGGGAACAAGTTCTTAGCTCAGATGCTAGTAGACTAGGTCACTATGTCCCTGTGTACTACACTACAGGGCCATATTTGTTCATAATTATTTATCTTTTAAAGCAAAAGCTTCATTGTATTATATTATTCTAAAGCTGTATATAGGCATATCATATATGAGCAAATTTTCTAATTGAGCTAAAAGAATGATCATGTCACAATATCAGCTATTATGGTTGATCATCAGATTGATTTGATACTAGAAAAATAGATCGGTTCAAGGAATTAGATGCACAAAATTAAAAGCAACTTTTAAAAAAATGGCTCAATGTTTGGCAAACCCCAAAACAAATTACTTGAGGAAAAAATTCTATATTTGACAAGAATTACTGGAAAAAATTGAAATCATTTTTGCCAGAAACTAGGTGTTTAGACCAGCATCTTATAGAATATGTAGTAATAACCTCAACCTGAATACAAAAGGTAACATCACAAAGAAAGGCATTTAAGAAGACAACTCTTGTAACTATAGTCAGTAGTCAGGAAGGTAATTTTTAACCAAATGTGAGATGTATGTGATCATAAAAAACAAGAAAATACATTACATAAAATTTATAAAAGGATTCACACAACTGAAATTGCAAATAGAATAAGAAAAATTGTAGAAAGGGAAAAATATTAACAATCATGAAAGATAAATTTGGTACCTAAGATATATAAGAAAATGACACAAATATATGAAACCAATTGATAAGTTGTAAATGACATAAATAATTTATAATATGTTTTGTTGCTATATCGCTTGACTTTATTTACAAATTTAGCCTTCTAATTTCTTCTACAGTGAGCCATGTCATGAGAAATGATTTAAATAGAGGAATATATGTGTGTGTGCATACATGTCCACACATGAACACATATACTTCTAAAATAATACATACATACATATATGTGTGTATATATACATATATATGTGTATGTGTGAGTGTGTACACACTCACACTCACACATACACACACATACATTCAACAAAACCAAACAACATATTACCAGTGTCTGGCAGTATGTGAAATATTCTATACCCATAGTTTCCCACCTTGTAATAAAGAGGATAAGGATGATTTTCTCAAGTGTTTTCCATGGCCAGTGTTGATCATTCTAATTTCACAATGATCAATTTAATTTTCGTTAATTCCATTTCCATCATTGGAGTAATTAAGTAGAGGCATCTAGGTGGCTGAGTGGACAGAGCACTTGGCTCTCTCAGGAAGACCTGAGTTCAAATCCTGCCTCTGACACTTACTAGCTATGTGACCCTGGGAAAGTCACTTTACCTCTGTTTGCTTTAATCCACTGGAGAAGGAAATTGCAAACTATTTCAGTATCTTTGCCAAGAAAACTCTATGGACAGAATTGGTGTGCTCTGGTCCATGAAAAGTCAGACATGACTTTAAGTATTTCCCTGGTTCTTACTTTACTCTGTATTCCTATGTTTCTCTAAATATATCACTTTTATCATTTATCATGGCGAAGTAGTATTCAATTACATCCATCTATGTACCATTATTTGTTTAGCCATTCCCCAAGATTAGAGACTTTTTGTCTTTTTTTAATTGTATTTTTGTCTTTCAGTGAATAACAACAGTGCTAGGCACATTAAAAAATTTTTAAACAATGTTTTCTGTATCACTGCCTGGTGGGTATCTTTTTGTTTCTTTATTTTCAGTTGCATGCTTTCACTAAAAAAAAAAAAAGTGTGGCTGTGGCTATTTTGGTGTGTACATGGGCCCTTTTCAATCTGTCTTTGACTTACCCAGGGAGTTACACATTCCTATCAGTGGGATTTTTGGATCAAAGGCTATGAATTTTGCAATAATTTATGTAACATCACATTCCAAGCTCTCTGCTCCTTCGTTGTGGTGGCTGCTACATCTTGTGTGACCCTGGTTTTGGCTTCTCACTTCTTTAATTCTTTTTTTCCTAACTATTAATTTTTTGTTAACTAGGAAGCAATAGATTTTGGATATGAGGTTCCTGGGAGTTTTAACTTTGGGGTTTCTTTCATAAACTGATTGATGGATTCCATTTTTATTGTTCTCTTTGGTTCTAAGAGATCTAGGTATGATTTCATTACATATTATGTCCAGCTCTTTAGGTAGCCCAATGATCCTTAAATTGCTTTCTTTTATCTCTTTTCCAGATCAGCTGTTTCTGTAGAAGATACTCTATATTCCCTTCTGTTTCTTGGTCTTTTGACCTTGTTTAATATTTCTTATTATTGCACGGAGTCATCAACTTCCATTTGGTTCATTCTAAGTTTCAAAGAGTCTTTCTGAGGAAAGTTGTATACTTCTTGTGCTAAGCTCCTAATTCTCTTTCCAAGACTTAGCTCTAATTTTTTCAAGTTCTTTCTACTATCATTCATATTTCATTTATGAAATCATTAAAAAAAATCCTTTTATAATCTCTTTATTAGTTTATTTCAGTAATTCTAGTTGTACCTGGGACCAAGCTGTGTTTTAGTTTGAAGCTTATCCTGTAGATATTTTGGAATTACTTTCTTATTTGGGGTTTGTCACTTGGATGTTCCTGTCATCGTAATAGCTCTTATGGTGGGATTTAGTTTTCTTTTTTCATTTATTCATTCTTCCAGCATTATTTCCCTAACATGGACTTTTGATAGGGCCAAGTACTACGCACTTCTGGAAAGAATTTCTGGGGCTTGCTTGGTTTTGTATTTTCTTGATCCTCTTGTTACTGCTTTCTCCAGGCACTGAGTACTGCACTCTTTAGGGGTCATAGAGACAGCTTAGGATAGAGACTTGCAAAGTTTCAGTGGGTCCAAAGCTATAAACCTAGCATGAAGTCTAATTGCTGTCCTACTTGTTTGAACATTGCAAGCTCCTGAAATTGGTTTGGGTTCAGGATCCAAGTATGGGCTTACACCTGGTTAGAGCTCCACTAGATTGCTGCTTGGTTTTGTTCACAAACAGCTGGAAGGCTCTGTTGGTTTAGAGGTGCAGAAATTGTTTTGAGCTTCCTGCCTTGGAAAATTGCCACATGCCTTAGCTTGATCTTGGCTAGATCTGAGGCCTGTTCCAAGCTAAAAGTCATGTGGATACTGCTCACTTCTGTTCTCACTCCTTGCTCACTGAATAGTTTCAGGCCTATTACTGCTCCTTACCCCATTTTTTCTATGCCTAGACACAGATCCTCTCATCAGTCTCCATTAGAACCAATAACCAGCTGAACATTGAGTAACTGAAAAACCAATAAAGAACCCAAACAGAA